TCAGGTGCATTGCACTGGGCTCTGCCGTGCACTTGGGGTCACTGTGATCAAACTTTATTCTGGAGAATAAAAACGCAGGTTTTTTCTTTGTTTAATTGGGCAAAGTGTACCGGGGTGGACCTGTTGTGTCCTTCAATAGTACCGTCAATAACTGAGAGAAGACGTTTGAATTCAGCCTCAATTTTGCTGGAAATCACACGTTGGCCTAGAATCCTGGTTGTTTCATCTCATGTTACCCAGAGCTCTCACAGTGAGAAAGGGGCAATGGTTAAACACACGAGAATCTGGGGAGAAGTATAATATTAGGGCTGGAGACAGTCCAAACTTCTCTGAAAGACTTTTGCATGGCAGGAGCTACCACTGTATCCATGGAACAAGGTTAACCATGATCAGCCACCTCAGATGTGTGAGCTCCATCTTTCTTCCTGAAATTCTTTCAGTGCAAGAAAACAAAGGACAAACTCTTGAGTCTTTTTCATACATTATGCCATGGCAATCCCCAATTTGCCTCTGCTGGTTCACCTGGCAGAGAGCTACTCGGTTCAAGGTGCATAGAACACACAACTGTGTACCTACTTATAGTACACATTGCTTATTTTCAGGTGCACACTTCAAGCACCTTGAAGGTACACCAAGGAAAGAAGTATGTGTGGAAAAACTGCAGGAGTGAATATAAGATTTCAAGACACTGAGGGGTGGCATTTTAGTGATATTAATTCTATGCACCTAACAAAAAGGGTAGAGAGATTGTTTTTATTTTGCATGCACCTGGCTAGTGATGCAAATCTACAAGCTTCTGGGTCACACAAGACTCTTTATCAGACTCTGTGCAATGACAGCTTATCGGCACCCTATCAGGCAGCAAAGCACCTGTGCGTACCTTTCACCACCTGTGAGAGGAGATCACCTAATTAGAAAGCCCTGTGCTTTTGAACTATGCCCCGGCCTCACACACTAAGGGTTAGGGTAGGCAACAAATTTGAGCAGGCTGGCAACTATTCTGGTGGGCTATCAAAGCCCAGATGGCCGCTGGGACAACAGACTGCAGGCTGCCGTAAGCTTGCTTCTGCAATGGAGAGCAACGGCTGTTTCACCGCTCAGCTGACGAGCCTTTGTTCTCGCCCTTGCCAAGGGTCAGGCCTGCAATTTACCTGGAATAAAAGCAAGTGGCGCATGAGGCTCTCCAAGCAAACAGCCCATAATAGCGGGTGACTGAAAGTGGGATGCTGAGGCACCCGATGGATGGTTCTGGAATAACAATGCAGAGGAGGTCTCAGCTGGGAAAGGGGGCCTGGACAGGCGATGGGAGGGGACCGTCCTTTCTTTTGTTAAATGCTGCTTTCTGTGAAAGACGCTCTTCAGCAGCTGAGGGTTGGGACCTGGCACGAGAGTTGCTACCTTTGTTAAATAGCACATTTATCATGGAAATGAGAGAGCAAGGTGAACAACTGAACTGAACAACTGTGGAAGGAAGAACCCCGCGGGTCCATGGCAGGCCCTGATCCAGCGAGAGAGAGAGAGAGAGACCCTCACACGAAGGACACACAATTCCACAGAGCCAGTCTGCGATGCAGCCCTCATGCAGGCCCCCCGAAAGGCTGGGTGGCTGTTTGTAGGTGGCTGGCGAAGAAGGGTGTGCTGCCTTTGCTGACTCCATACTGTCCCCTTTTCTGCAGTTTGCCATGCGTGTTTCTTCCAAAAATCGGGGAGTTTCATCCAAAACGTCTACTTCTCCTAATCCTCACATGCACACCTGCGCTCATGCAGACGAGCATAGATTCTCCCTCGCCCCCCAAAAAGTGAAAAACAGGTCCACACGGCTGTGGAAATTGTGCTACTCAGGAGAATTCCGTCTGCTGAGCAATCTGCAGGTCAGGTTTGTAACAAACCAGATGCATCGGAGGCCTTTGTGGATTTATCCCTCAAGGAGATACACGGGGCCAAGAGAGTCACTGCTTACCTGCTAGGAGGAAGGCGGACACTCTTCACCAGTGCTGTGAAAGCTGTTTCATGATATCCACTCTGGTTTCATGGTTATCGGCCCCACGCATGTTACATTATCATCTGCTTGGGACTTTTGCAATTTCACTGTTCAGTTTAAGGTCGGTTGTTTGGTTTTGATTGCATTTCAATTGCCTCCTGAGTCCTTTGTGCTGAAGATCAGCCTATTCCTTTCCCTTCCTAGAAAGATGAAGTAGGTGCCTCCGCACTTAGGTTTCTGTAAGCAGACTAAAACCCTTTTTATTCCAGCAGCCATTTGCAAAAGCCTCTGAGTTTGTGCCAGGTTCATTTAACTGTTTGTAGCTTTGTAGTGTTTTCAACCTAGGCAGTGGTATGATTTCAATGTTTAATGGAATAATTATATATTTTTTAATTTTTGTATGCTTTGGGATGTTTTAACAGTGTGAATTTTAATGTTGTGAGTCACCTAGAGTCCCAGGAGTTGTGAATTAGTGGGATATAAATAAATTGTTGTTGTTTTGCAGACAAGCGAGTGAATAAATCAAGCTACCCTGTTCTCTCTGTGTGAAAAGAAAAAAAAATTCAGCAAGATGCAGGAAGGAAGAAATTGCTGCTGAACTGGCACAGACCAGCAGCACATGGATCAGTCAGGTCAGCCTTCCCCATCCTGTTAGCCCTGATATAGGTTAGACTACAACACCCAGTATCCCAGGCAGCACAGCCAATGGAGTTACAGCCCAACACGTCTTGAGGGCCACTGGACTCAGGAAGCTGGCCCTGTTGTGAATAATGCTGGCCAGCGTACCTTGTGGGAGAAAGGAGACGAAAAGATCCTTTCACCAGTTATATATACAAAAGGGTCCTACCAATGCTGTTTTCTGCTGCCATTTCTTTGGGAAATGGGCTGGCTGACCACAGATTGTGCAGGAACGGCACCAGAAGCTGACTCTGGAGCAGCGTCTGGTGACTCCTTTAGACTGCCATCTTCTGCAGGCTTTCCTGGGAATCAGCCCTGCTAAATGCAGGGGAACTCATTTCTGAATAAGCCTGCATAGGATTCTGAGCTGGATTCATTTTCCTTCCTTCCTGGCAGCGTTCCTGGATGGCTGGAAGAACAGTCCACGGGCTTTCTCCCTCCCAGCCAAATGCGACCCTGGCTTTTCTGCATGCCTCCCCTTCTGCCCGCTTTGGAGCAACATCTACTCCGGGGTTACTCCCAGCTTAACCACGTGGCCTCTGCTGCCACAGGCAGGGTCTCTGCATGGCCTTCCAAGCCCAGGGGCCGAAGCCCAGAGGTACACCCTGGCCCTCATTGAGCACCCCCGGCCTCTCGGGACAAGCACTGATGAGCTCAGTCCTAGGAAGAGACACGGCTCTGAATCGGTCCAAGCGCCTATTCCTTCAGAGGCAAAAAGCGGGAGCAGTTCTACCCTGTCTTGGGAACTCATCTTGCTATTGCCTTTAGGAAACGGGGATTGTGGAGCGGGCTGGAGCGATAGCATTCGAAAAATCTGTTAGCGCAGAAACAGCCGGATGAGGCAAGGACACGGCACACAGCCATCTCTTGCGGGTCCTTCAGTGCTAGCACGTTTCATTTCGTCCTAAGCTTTGTGGACCAGACTTCACTACAGTGGATGCAAGAAGGATTTCCCTAAATGGGAGGCTGCACACACACGAAGATGTGAACATGGAAATGCAGAAAGTACAGAACATCTTAACACTCCTCTGGCCACAGGGTTACCTTAACATTTCCATGTTTGTGAATCTGTACCATAACTGTTCAGAAATAGACGGTTGACACAAACCTCCTAGGATTGGTGAGCTAATTGATATCAAATATCTTCAATACTGGATTGTGAAATTTTAGTACATTTCAGACTGGCTGGGGCATGGTGGGTTTTTTTCTTTTTCTTGTCCAAAATTTTTCTTACCCAAACATGCTTTGGGTTGTACCCTTCAGGTTTAATGCAAATTATCAGAATATTGATTGTGTTCTGGTCCCCTTCCACACACGATCTATTGTTCTGTCCTCATATATGCATGCATACAAGTGTATGTGCGTGCGCATGCAAATCCTGGCTAATACTTCATTAGAAAAATAAATGAAGATCACGTCGTGCCACTAAAGGAGTTTTTACAAGACTTGAAGATTAAACAGAAATCATTTTTAGGTGCTGTACACAGACCTGGGTGGACTTTTTCTCCCATGGTCATCTCTGGTCAAACAGGTCCCACAGGTTTCTGAAGCAGGACAGAAACCTGTAAAGCCTGTGAACAGAGGGTACTTTCAAAATACATCTTCGCACATACAATTTAAATGCAGAGTGTATGAACAAGCCCAGAAACTTAAACGCAAACACCCCAACACAGGGTGCAAATGCACCTTTCTCTCTGCTCTCCAAAACCCCACTGAATTATTTTATTCAGGGGAGCCGTGAACTGTGACTGTTCTGGACATTTCTTCAGTGAGATTTGATTGCTGTTTTACTGTTTTTGGGGTATTATCCTGCGCAAGATCAGAGAGGAAAAAGTCTTCCAGCTCCCAGCATGGCTGGTAGGCCTTTCCCCCCATCTAAATATGCACAGAATCGCGCCGCAAGAGAGTTTCTTAGCTGCTCTCCTGCACTGCATGTACTAGACAGAAGGATGCTCCATTGCACTCGATGGGACCAACTTCCAAGTAAACATGCTTGCGTGGCGCTAGTGTGCCTCATCAGTGTGGCTCCGTTTCTATTTCACGTATTTATTTTAGGGACCGGTCTGAGGGGCTGGCTGTTGGGATTCCTTTCACGGGGACGAGAAATACCGACTATGGCGAGAGGAGGAGACCGGGGCTGGGCGAGAGGCTTGGAGGCATGCGACGGCTTCGTCTGCGCGACAGGGGAAGGGGCACGAGTTCTGCCCACCCGCTTCCCACTCGCCGCATCGGCGGGCGGCCCCTGCGCTGTTCGGCTGGGCACGCGGGTCGGCGGGTCGGCGGGGAGGAAACACACGGTCCCAGCGTGGAGGCGCCGCGGCCGGAGACCACCGAGCGGCTTCTATAGGTCGGAAACCTCCCCCGAGGCGGCGCTGGGCTCTTCCGCCGACCTCGTGTTCACCTTGAACTGGCGCCGCAGGAAGCCGCCGTACCGCTTCTGGTTGTCCCACTTCAGCTTGGGGCGGATCCTGCGCATGAAGCCCCCGTAGCGCTTGTGCAGGTCCTCCGGCTCTTGCCCGCCTTCCTCGGCCGCGCCCGCTCCCACGCCTCGCTTGGGGTACTTGCGCAGGAAGCCCCCGTAGCGCTTCAGCTCCTCCTTGAGCGCGGCTGGCTCCCACTCTTCCCCGCGGGAGCCCGGGCCCCGGGCCTCCGCCAGCCCCGGAAAAGGCTCCTCGGCGCCCGCCTCGGGGGCTGATCTCTCCCCCACCTTCCGGAAGAGCCCGCCGTACCTCTTGCCGGCGCCCCCCTTGGCCAGAGCGTTCTCGTGGAAGAGAGAAAAGATCTTGTTTTTATCCAGCTTCTTCATGAACCCGCCGTACCTTTTGACCGGGCTGGTGAGCAGCTCCCAGGGGTCTGGACTCTCCTCCTGGGCAGCTTTTGCCTCTGCCTCTGCCGCTGCCTCCTCCTCCTCCTCCTCCTCCTCCCCCTGGGGCAGCCTCTTGGACTCGCCCTCCATCAGGACGGGGGCGAAGGAGAGGGCCTGGATGCACTTTTCCCACTCGGCACCAGATGGCAGGTTGCCCAGGCACTCCAAGGAGCAGATCTGCAAGACACCAACGGGAGGGTCTCCTTCACTGGCCGGCTTTTCCCCACCGCCCCAGGGGAGCGCCCCGCTTGCCCTGAAGCTGAGATGCAAAGCTCCGCTCGTTCTGGTACTGACAAGAATCTAGCAAGTTTGAGATCGTCCCCCATAGTTTGGGGCGGGGAAAGAACGTGAGATTCGAACAAGGAGAACCAAAAAGGCCCTGTTTTCTCCCCCAGGTGCAGCACTGGAGATGCACCCCTGTAAATGGGGATTCGTGTGTGCTCGCGCCGCATCAAAGCCTCCTGCTTCCAGGCAAGCTCTGCCACTTCAACAGCATGGCAGGCAGGCCCCCACCCCATGGGAATAAGCTGCAGCAGTGGGTTTGGCTAGAGCAGAGGGGTTAAAAACCTGCTCTGGTTCAGTTTTTGATGAGAAGCTGCCCGAATTTGCAAGGAAAGAGCTTGATTTTTTTGATCTGCAAAACTAGCAGGTTTTCCTTTATTATAGTAGCCTTTCAAGAATGGGAGAGAAGAGCACGCAGGACTCCGAGGGTGGTGGGAAGAGACAGGGCTGCATGGCCAGCTAAGGAGAAGCATGGAGCTTTTGGATTCAAGGGCAAGTGCGTCGTTTGGGTGATGGGCACAGTGCAGGAAAACGGCCTGGTGGGGCCCAGGGCAAGAACCACGTGGTGCCCCCCCCCCAACTCACTGCCCAGACGTTGGGCAAAAGAAACTCAGAGTCTTTATGGTTTGGAAGCCACCCCGAGGCTTATGCGAATGGGGCGGCATATAAGTTCTCCAAATAAAAAAATAAACCTGGCTGACCATCTTGTATCATCCCTGGAATCATTCAAGGCTAAGTTTTTAAGAATGCTGCCTTTGCATTTTTGCTCAGGGAACCAAGATTTAGGGTGGATCCTAGGAAGTACTTCCTGACAGTTAGTACCCCCAGGGCATGGAATGGGAGGTGGTTGAGGCCCCATTGGTGAGAGTGTTCAAGGACAGGCTGGACATGCACATGGTGGGCATGTCGTGAGTGGAGCTGGCTGGAGCCAGGGGTCAGACTAGATGGCTTGGGAGACCCCTTCTGACTTGCTCTGTTTCTGTGTTCTATGCTTTTATTTTTAAAAAAAGCTTTTGTATGTGGGCAGATTGGATCTATGTTGTCACTGAACTAGCGGCACGTGCTACAATGATGAAATCATTGTCACATGCAATGATTTCCACAGCTCCCACTTGGATTCTGAAATTGCTGGGATTAAAGTCAGTTGCTTTTCCATCCAACAAACACTTCTGGTTCTCCAAGAGAATCTGGGAGCAAGGATGAGCCAAAACGGAAAGAGGGAATTCCTGCGAGGCGGCCGCTTTGGTTTCGCAATGGTCGCTCGCCTTTCCATAATTTGATACAGTGTCAGAAGGGAGATCATCAAAGATTCTGCCCCTTCAGAAGGACAAGTGACCAACAGGAAGCGTTATGTGTAAACGAAAGACGGGCTTGTCACAAATGGATCAGGCAGAACGTTTATGTTCTAAAGTATGTTTGTCTCGTTCTCACACTTGTGTCACTTTGGGTTCTGAAGGGCATCAGCTGCACTATCGGGCAGCTTAGTGGGGTTCAACCTGCTGGTCTTCCCTGCAGGATCCCATTCACTCGGGCAGGCTAGGAAAGTCAGGAGCCCCTGACCAGGGAGGCCACTTACTAACGGGCTGATGGGCTTCTCCATCTCCTGGCCACGAAGAGTACACACCGAGCACTCGCTGCTGCAGTCTGCAGAAGCCGAGGGGGCCAAGCCAAGGCAAAGGGCCAGTCCCCAGAACTGCCACTCCATTGTTCCCAGCAAGCACCTGAAAGACGGGAAGACAGGTAAGCATGAGACAGGTGGGCTGTCGCATCATGGGTGGTCACCTCTTTGATCTGCTCCACCCTTTCCTGCCCGGGACAGATAATCCAGCTCAGTTTATGGACCAGAGAGTAATAGTATTGGGGTAATTTGGGGGTAGGGGGAGAGCCTGGAATTTTAAAGCACGTGAACTAGGGAGAGACCTCCAAGCATCAGGATCTGAGCATCCTTCTGCCACAGCTGCAAGGGTTGGCAGGCCCTGGGGGGAGTCTCCCCACTGGACACCTTGCTGTGGGGTCCCCAGAGAGAGGCAGCGCTCCAGAAAGCCACAAGGGTGCCCTCGTGCTCCAGGTTTGACACAGACTGCTTCCCTCTGGAGCGGCTGACACTGCTTGTGTCTTGCTTGGGGGCATGCACAGGGCTGGCAGGGAGAGAGACACTGGCTGCCCCCCCCCCCCCCCCCCCCCCCTGGGGGGGGGGGGGGGGGGGGGGGGGGGGTGGGGTGGGGGGGGGCCCCGGGGGGGGGGGGGGGGGGGCCCCCGGCCCCCCCCCCCCCCCCCGCAGCAGTTGTGGGATGGAAGAGTGGCTGGCTGGGGTGACTGCTATGCCTGACTCCGAGATGGAGGCTGTGGACCACGTCCCTCTCAGGGGCAGGAAATGTGGAATACTCGGCCCTTCCAAATCGGCTACCTGCTTTCTGGGAGGGACAGCCAGAGGCAGGGTTAGAGGAGGGGGCCCTGGGGCTGGAGCCCCAGATCTTCCATTGGCAGCCCCAGATCTCTGCGGGGGCAGCTACCCCACCACCCAGCCATCCAGAGATGGCGCTGATGAGAGCTCACCTTGGGTCTTCCGTGAAGTGCCCCGTTGCCGTCACCTGCCTTGCACAATCCTGCTTCTTCCCTCTGACTCAATTAGCACACTAATTAGAAGTGCAGCCTAGACTTAAGCCAGAGGGGAAGCAGTCACCTTTCCTTCCATGGTCTACTCATTATTTTTATTAAGTCCAGGGCCACAGTTCCCTAACAGCACCACTGTGGGAGCATGCCCGGCCCTTCGAAAAGATGCTCGGGATTTTGCTGCTGGGTCGCCTGAGCCCTGGACCGCTGCAGGCAGCAAGATCCTGACAAGAAGAAGAGCGGGCACAGGGGCTGCTCACACCCCAGGAGGAGGTCCAGAGGCCTTCCTTGCCTGCTGCTGCTCCGAGCTGGCCCAGGTCACTCCCCAGGGGAAACAGAATGGGTGCTGCTCTCTGGAGGGCAACTCTGCTCTTGCGTGGCCAGTGGTGGTGGAACGACCCTCTCTCGCGCATAAAGGCCACAGTGCCTTGTGGCACCTGAAAGACTCCTCGGTTTGCAGCGGCACAGTATGTTGTCTGCTGGAGGAGAGCTGTTTGAATACGCCGGACCGACTGAAAGATGAACAAGTGGGCCTCGGATCCAACCAAGCTAGAACTTTTCCTGCAAGCAGAAATGTCCAAAGTGAGGTTGTCCTACTTTGGGCCCATCATGAGAAGGTCAGACTCCCTGGAGAAGAGCACCATGCTCAGGAACACAGAAGGCAGAAGGGACGGCCAACAGGCGAGGGACAGAAGGCGCTGCACCCCCGACCATACAAGAGATTAACATGGCTCTTGTGGGCAGGGCAATTTGGAGAGCTTTCAGCCATAAGTCAGAGATGACTTGATGGCTTGTGGTGACAACAGCAACTTCTCATGGACAAGGAGAGCACTGTAGAGAAAGGAAACTTTTCATGTAACTGGAGAAAAATGGCTGCTCCTGAAACCCTGGTGGTCTCCCCATGTTCATGTCCTGCTGCCCCCACCTTGAACGTTTCTGCATTACATTCCCACCTCCACCCCCGGGAATCAAGTACCTGCTCTCCTCTGTTTGCAATCTCTTTCTACAAGTAAGTGTGTCATTAGGAGACAGGATCGTTTAAAGACACACACAGAGAGAAAGGCTTTTGTGCCTGAGGCGACTGCGTTGGATAACCGATTTAGGATGTCATGAAACAGCAGCAAATCATTTATCCTTTGACTCTTTGCATTTCTGCTACCAGGAAAGGGGAGAGATGGTGCTAGTAGGATTTTCTGCTTCAGGGCCAACACCTCTGGACTGTCGCGTGTGGATTCTACCATACTCCCTGAGTAGAGTCATGGGGCCAAGTGCCCATTGGCTCAAGGCGGCACAGTGCCTTGGACACGGCTAAGGAGACCAGGTTGGCACAGGAAATCACGTGGGGTAGGGAAACAATTGCACTGTGGCTGGGCGTGAAAGCGGGATGGTGAAGAACAGCGACAGGAAGGAAATCGAACTGGCAGGAGCAGAGCAGGACTATCAAGGACAGGACATTGTGGATGGCTCTCACTCATTGAGTCACCATGACATAGATAGAAAGACAGAAAGATAATAGAAAGATAGAAACATAGTGATTCAGAAGAGGTCTCCTGGGTCATCTAGTCTGACCCCCGGATCCAGGTGGCTCCACTCATGTAATCCCCAACATGTGGTTGTCCAATCTTTCCTTGAACACCCTCACTGATGGGGCCTCCATCAGCTCCCTTAGAAGCCCATTCTATATCCTAGCGGTTCTGATCACCCAGAAGTATTTCCTGACACCCAACCTGAAACCCAGTTCCTTGATCTTTGCCCCAGGGAAGAACAGGTCATGACCCTTTATCATGTGATACCCTTCACATGCACACACGAGATCCCCCCAGGGTCTCCTCTCCTCCAGACTGGAAGACGCAGCTCCCTCAGTCTCGTCTCCATCTCCTCAGTCTGCCTACCACCCCTGTAATCTTGCACTGAACTGGCTCCAACTTAGCTATGTCTCTCTTATAATGTGGAACTGAGAACTGGACAAGGTACTCCAGTTGTGGGTGTTCCAGAGTCCTATAGAGCAGCACCTGTGTTGATCTGGAAGCCTTGTCTTTGGCTGTACATCCAAGGCTGGCGTTTGCCCTCTTGACCACCGCGTCACACTGCTGGCTCATGTCCAGCCTGCAGTCAACCAGCACCCCGAGGTCCCTTTCACAGGTGCTGCTCTCCATCTCCATCTCCACTTGATTCCCAAGTGCAAGACTTTACACTTATCCACATTGAACCCCTGCCCACTTCCAGATTCTTTTGGATCTAGAGCACCTGTTTCCCAGTGGTGGCCACCACCCCCACCTTGGTATCGTGTGCGAATGGGTGGGCGGACTGATTGCTCCCTCCTCCAGGTTGTTGCTACGGGGTTGAACAGAATCGGTCCCAGAACCAAGCCCTGGGGCACTCCGCTCATCCCGAACTGCCACCCCGATGATTCCCTGCTGATGGACACCCTCTGCTTGCAGCCTGTCAGCCGTGCCCTAATCCATCGTCCACCTATCCCAAAGCTCATCGGTTTCTCAGCCATCCGTTTCTCAGGTCAGAGATGACTTGACAGCGCTTCACAACAGCAAAAATGGAGCTATCTGCTGGCACAGGGAGATCTGTGGATGCAGAGATGAGTCCAGGGTTGCCTCACACTTCCTCTGCTTGTTCCAGAATAAGACATTCTGAGTTCCGCGGGATTTGCTGCTAGGTCAGTGTAGAACTAGAGTTTTACTCATGCAGAGTTGCGCTCAGAATAGCAGCCTGGCTTATTTCCCCTGAAGAGGGTTGGATGTGGAGGGACACCTGGGGTTTCAAGATTCCCAACATTTAGAAGATTAGAACTGTAAAATGAGGGAGGGGGGAGGGGGAGTTCTAAAATCCCAGAAACTACCAAAATACAGTATTTTACCTATTCACGTATGGGAATTTTACATATTTCCCAAAGTATTTCTCTAGGGAACAGGAGCAGCAGCGTGTGTCCTCCAGTCCTGAAAGCGTAAGAGCAGCTGTACTGCATCAGACCCAGGTCCAGCTAGTGCCACACTCTGTACACAGTGGCAGCCCAGCTGCCCACAGGATCCCTCCAGCAGGATGGGGGCAAGACCCCCTCCTGCCCAAGCCCTCAGCAACTGGGGTGTGCAGGCAAGTCACCTCTGGAGAAGGAGGGAGCACCTGGCCAGCAAGGCTAGTAGCCACAGATAGCCTCCTCCCTCATGAATCTGTCCAATCCCTTTAAAAATCCAGATTCCCGTGGCAGCGAATTCCACCGTTTAACGATGCCTTGTGTGAAGAAGACCTTCCTTTGCTCTGTCCCAAACCTCTCGCCCATCAGCTTCATGCAATGACCCAAGCTCAAGTGTTATGGGAGAGGGAGAAAAATGCCCCCTCCTCACGGTCCCCACACCACACATTGTTTCGCACACCTCTGCCCTGTCTCCCCTTCCTCGCCCTTTCTCTGAGCCGAGCCGTCTCTGTGGTCGCGGCCTCTTCTAGTGCGGGAGCTGCTCCAGTGCCCAGATCGAGTCTCCACCTGGTGCTGGAGGGCTTGCAGGTGTTGGGAAAGCAGGGAGCAGGTGAGTGAATGCCCATGTGCTGGAGGGGCTTTCTGCCTGGCAGGTGTGGGGGCTGCAGCCCTGAAGCACGAATTAGTCGAGCTTTCAGTGCCCTGCCACCTGCTCGCCAGGGGCCCACGGTCCCCTCTGAATTCGGAAATGCTCACTGCCCCCTTCGGCGCTTTGCTGGTCGGAGGTGCGCCACCATCCTCATCTGGATGCGGCCTCACAGACCAAGGAGCCGTGAACGGAGAGCCAGGTTTTAAGCAAGCGCTCAGGCTGGGACCTGGCACAGCCCTGCTCTGATAGCAAAGCAAAGGGTTAATTGCTTTGCCTCCCCTGAAATGTGATTAAAATAATTATGTGCATATAGTTGCACACCAAAGTTAGTAGATGCTCATGGGAGTGGGGTTTGGGTTTGGGTTTGTCCTGTGGGCCTGAGTGCTGTCCCCATCCCCCCCCCCCCCCCCGCAGTTTGAATCAACACTTCTTGAAAGGAAATTTAAGAAACTCCTCTGCAGAGCAGCTTTTGTCTAGGCCACAGCTGAGATTTTGGCTGGAAATGAAGCCCGAGATT